CTTTATTTATTCTGCTATCAATTATGAAGAAGGTGACAAATTCGAGTGTAAAACGTTCGACGATAGAATTCACGGAATTCCACAATCAATCATTCAAGGTCGATTTAATGATGACGATTTCGATGATATAGCACTTGTTTCTCCTCAATCTAATGGATTGCACGTTCTACTTGCTAAAGGAGATGGTAAATTCTTACAATACATCTATCATATAAACAATTCTCCAACATCTGTTGTTCGAATCAATTTCAATAATGATTCTATCGATGATTTGGCTATATTACATTCCAATCAGACTATTGGTATATATCTTGGAACAAAACTTGGAATATTTTCTGAAGAGAAAACTTCCTTTCAAATTGGAGAAAATTGCACCGATCAAAGTTTTCGATCACTTACAGTAGCCGATATAAATCGAGATGGGAAAGATGATTTGGTTTTCATCGACTCAGTTGCACAAACTATTCGAGTTTTACTAAGTGCGAATTGCAATAAACGTTTTTAAATGCTCTTATTAATTTTGCTTTGTTTTAATATTATGATGCTCATACAATACTTTTCGAGAAAACACACACTATCATAACGAAAGTTTTCTTCTAATTATAGTTTGATCGCTTTAATATTTATTAAAATTAAATAAAAATATTTTATATACATCTTGAGAAGGTGTGGGTGAGAATGTGTACAAAGAAAAGAATGTACGCACACCCATACCGTCTCTTAATTTTTAAGAATATAAAAACATTTTGTTACATATCAGTATTTGCTTTCTACTCTCATATTCTTCCAGTCAAGCTCAATCTGCAAAATAATTCTTGACTATTTTAAAAATAGGAAATAAGTTGAAAGACAGAAAATAAATTTTTGATGTCAAGTAGAAGATTTGCATCTAAAACCATCTTCTTCTCTTTAATTGTATCGCATACAGTGATATTAGTGTATGCGTGACTGTGTAGTAAAGAAATTTATTTCAAGAGATTAGAAACATAGAAAGCTTAGCATGAGTAAAAAGCGTCTGAACTGAAGGTTGCAATAGCTTCAGAAAACAATATTATGAGTTTGTTTTTTAGAGAGATATTAGACAATAATGATACTTATAGATCATACCTCTTACAAGCGTATTGATAGGGTGTGGGTGGGTGGGTGTGGGTGTAATTGTGGGTGTGAATGTCTTCTTTAAACAGACACACCCACACCCACACCCACACCCATAGTATATCAAATAAAATGCTTAATTGATAACTTTCGTTTTATTTGTTGACATAGAAACAATTTACATATACCGATTTTCTATTTAACAATCGATACAACACAAGGATGTGGATGTATATCATCTGTTAACCTATCTGCATATGAATGGATCTTCAATATACTAATGTAAATTAAGAGCAATAAATTCTAATAAAAAAATTTCTCTATTATATAACAAATATATATGTATTTGTGAAATACATAATAGTATTAATTATGATAATTTATTTGCATGTGTGAAATGTAGTAATTTTAATGATGGTGTCACTTAATCAAGAATTGCATATTGTAATAAATGTGCTGAAGACAAAATAGTATATATACTATATATTACTCTGGATCCTTCTTCAAGTGTCTGTTCTTTTTCGTTACTTTTAATTTCCATTAAAAATGCATCTATTTAACATCTCCTTACTTGCCATTCATTATTCCGTGTCTAAGTTATAAAATAGGTATACAGTCTTACGCTTTTACATACGTATGTCTGTAGTTACTATAATAAATATCTATCAATCTGACATCAAAGTCAGGCAATATAAACATTTTTATTCGTTAAGAAAAAAGAACAATGTATAAATATTGAGCATATTTATAGTTTTATTAATAATATTATAAAATAAATAACAGAATCAAAAATGATAGTTTTTATTATTCATATTAAAACCCTGTGCAGTATTGAACAATAATTCTTTTTTTCAATTATTTCATTAAACAAAAATGTAAGACATGATGGAGAGAAAGAGAAAAAACATTTGTCGAAAGGCTTGTATTTCTTCTTCAGTACTTATGTTCACAAGAAAGTGTACTTCGACGTCGGTGTATTGCAGCGATTGAACATATGAAGATAAAAAATAACATAAAATACTTTGGTTGCTTTCTCTCGATCTTCTCCTCAAAAACAATATTTTCAATTGAAATGAGACCTCTTTCATATCCTCATTTTGACGACAATATAAGAAAAGTAAGTATTGTAGTTTATGGAAGTAAATTTCTTTATTTTATTTAGATTAATCTTATCATCAAAATATTTGTCTCAGATTTTATTTCAATCTAAATTTACAAACAGTAAATTATTCACATTAAACTTCCACACATGAAAAAAGACTTCTCAAGAAACTATTATAAGTTTCATTTGTGATCAATAATCCATAAACTAAAAGAAATTCTTTTTCAAAAATAAATGATTTTATTATTTCAGTTGAGTTATTTTCAAAATAAAAATAATTATAATTTTATTCAGTACATTGTTCATATTTTTGAATTCGATGATTAGTAAAATCAGAAACATAAAGATTTCCTTCAACATCAAATGATAGATCTCTGGGATTACCCAATTGATTTGATCCTTCTCCGGAACCATATCCACCCACAACAATTGAACCATTTTTATCTCCTTCACGCCATTTCATAACTCGAAAATTAGAAGAGTCTGCAATATAGATTTGACCTAAAGTATCAACAATCACTCCACCAGGTTCGTATAATTGGTTAAGATTATGTCCTTTTCCATTTCCACCAGCAACAATAATTCCTTCTTTTGCATCTTTTCTCCATTTCATTACACGATGATTGAGCCAATCTGATATATAAACAGAATAATCTATATCAACGAAGATTTTAATAGGCCGACTAAATTGATTAAGACTGTCTCCTGGACCATTTCCACCTGCAACTAGTGTTCCAACTGTGTCTCCTTCTTTCCATCGTCTCACTTCAGATTTTGTCCAATCAGAAACATAAACAGACCCATCTTTGTCTATTGCCACACTAATACAGTTAATATTAGAGATCAAGATTTGTGGATTTTTTTGACTTTGACGATACCATCGCATTACTCGTTCGTTCCCATAATCACATATGACTATCGCATTCTTCTCTCTGTCAACAATTACGTCGGCTGGCAAATTGAGTTGAACCAGGCTATTGCCTTCCTTATTTCTACCTGCAATCATTTGTCCTTCCTTTGCATTATATTTCCATTCAACAATGCGATGATTTGCACGATCAGCAATCAAAATGGCTTTGTTATCATCGATATAGATCCCATCAGGATTAAGGAGTTGATTTGATTGATTTCCATATCCATTTCCTCCAGCAATAGTAATTCCATGTTGTTTCCATTCGTTATATTTTGGCTTGCTTGGTACTAATAGCAAAGAGAAAAAAGATTTGATATTAAATTAAAATCTAACAATATCGATTTAATCAAAAATATCAGAACAAAAAAAATTTCATTTGATTTTTGTAAAGTTCGAGAAGAAAGCAATGTAAAGATTGTTGATGTATCTCAAATCAAAACTTTGATTTTATTGTGAAAAGAAATGCCGAATCATATGTGAAGAAGTTGTCCAACTCAATGATTCGATCGAAGATCTTTGCGACTTTTTCAAAATAAAATCAACAAAAAAAACAGTTTATCATTAGAATTAGTTAAAGATAAGAGATAAGTTAACTTCTATCTTGTTTTTGTTTTTCCTTTGAACAAGGGAATCAGGGTTTGTCCTCTGAATTGATGATGCATATTGATAAATGACTAATCAAGAGTCAAGAGAAAATAGATTCTCATATTTATACTGGCGCCACTATGTATTCTACGATATTTCCTATAGATGTTTCTCGATTAGTTTCCTATCAAGATTTTGATAAATACTATACTCTAACCGAACATCGTATCCGAAAGATCTTGATCACAGTACACGGAACTAAAAAGATTGTGAAACTTTAGATACAAGATACTAGTATTGTCCTGTATCAAGATCTGTAACTTGATCTTTGATATAGATTTATAGGATCTTAGTCAAGATACACAGGGTCTAATATAATCACTATAGTTCGTGTGTGGATCTTGTGGGTGTGAGTGTGAATACTGTATTCACTTACCACCCACACCCTTCTTATTTCATCAATGTTATACCTCGTGTTGTTGTTGTAAATTGTTGATTTGTTGTTTCTATTGCCACAGTTAATGGTACTATCATGTTTGTTATTTCTGTTGACTCAGTTGATAGATTCATCACGTTTGCTGTTTTTGTTTTAATAATCACGGTTGGAATAGTTACGAACAAAATAACAATGATAATAACATTAATGATACATAACAATTTCTTTTTTTTAAAACATTTCCTTCTAGAATAAACAATTCTTTCGATTATGAGTTTCAACAATTCACAAAACACATACAACAATGTTGGTCCATCAGTTGATGTTTGTTGAGAATCCGACGTAACTGATTGCGACTAAAATAATTTATTAAAATCAACGTTATTTTATCTGGTTTAAACAAAATATATTACATCACAAACTCCTATTTGATTTCGACTCGTCATGAATATTCTGTGCCCGTATAATATGGAAATAATATCTTATTAAAATTAACAATCTAAAATATTTAATAAAAATACATGATATCAAAATGAAACATATCTTCATATATGAGAAGAAAATAATACTTAAAAACAAAAGATTAGCTGAATAATATGAAGAAATACTTAAACAAAACTAAAACAATGAAAAAAATATTTAAGAAAAGTGTTGAAATTTATTTTCGTCCATGGAAACTGGAAAATCCTTCTTTTTCCATTATCCACATAACAATATGCTGTTGCAAATTAATAATCATGAAAATAACAAGTTTTTTTGTTCAACGGATAGTCGTGTAAGCCGTCAGCCGATTACTGCTGAAGTCGACGGCTGGCAGCTAACATTTTTGCTAGAGCCGACGTGCGCCCAAGCCGACGGCTTACACCTTTAATCTATAGACTAATATCAATATGAAGTATTTTTATTGAAACATCTGCAATAAAATACAACATTAAAAATAATCGGTAAATAAGAACAAGAAATTTTGCTTCCTTTTTCGAAGCTGATTTTTGAACTAAATCCTACCAGATGTTAGCTATGATATGCTGAAAATAGAATAAATGTTCATGATATTAAAACTTTGGAGGAAGGATATGAAAGAAAAACATTGAAAATCGTCACTTAATGCAGAAAATGCAACGTTTTCTATTAGAGAAAACAGAATTTATTTGAACAATATATTTTGTTATTTTGTATAGAATTGAAAAAACAAATACATTGATTAGAAAATCTATTTTATAGCTGATCATGGTATACTCGATAATTTCTGAATAGGTGCAGGGTGTGTCTGTTCTCTTAGTTCACGCCCACACCCACATCCACACTCGATTAGTATAAAATATAAGTATCGTTCGTTGGAGGACTCACTCGGCTATTTCGTGTAAAAAATAGTGTTTCCGAACTATAAGAGACAGGGAGAAGCTCGATCTTGTTGTCAGATAAATGATTTTTGCTTGTATTTCCCTTTCAAAATAAATGCTAGCGCTTAATATGGAATTATCGAATCTATATTTGCTAGACTCCTCTCTATAACAAAGAGAACATCGTAATACCTTTAAAGATTCTTGAGGGTGTAACTGTGGGTGAAAGTGTGAGTGAAGGTGAAAAAGATAGTACCCGCACTCACCCCCACCCTTCAGATTTGTCCAATGTTGCCATCAAAAGATGTCTAAACTTCAATGAATTTAATCGATAAATATATTCTCACAATTTATTCATTCAATAGTGTAGATCTCTCTGTCAAAGTATTAGACAATCGAAAATGATTTGAAGAATCTTCAATATTAATGTTGTTATTATTTAGATTTTGCATTCTAAGCAAATAATCTTATTCTTAGTATTATTCATTCTACATTTTCCTCTCTAGATACTAGTTCATATGGAACATCTATCAACACTTGGAAAACTGATCTTTCTATAGAGATAAAATGTATAGTTAAAGGTAAATATGAACTACAAATGAGTGTAAAACACACTTCAACTAAATTCAGTAGTCGATAAATTAAAACGAATATGTTAATCAGATTTTATTCTAGAAAATAAGAGCAAATAACTTTTAATACTACTAAATCGATAAAAAACGGTTCTTTTGAGGATAAAAAGGATGCAAGAATATATGAAATAAAACATTCATACCCACATCTACACCCTCAAAATTGTCTATCTAACGATGCTACAGAGTTTTTCTTTGATCACATAGATATGGAAACATCTTTATCAACTCGATTAACAGGAGATCAATGGATTGTAGATTCACATCTTCTCATAGAATGGAAAGACTTTTCTGCTTGTGAAATCTATTCTCCATCAAATCGAAAATGGCGAGAAACTGCCGTTATGAATGTTGGACGAAATGGGCTTACACTCACGTCACTTTCGAATGATAGAAATATATTAGCTATTTGTGGTAGTCGGAATGATCTTGATGCATATACAGCAGAAATATATTATATAGACATGAATATATAGTTATTTGTGCCGAATATTATAAAAACAGGTCTAATAAAACATACGGCGACATTATTGAAAAATGGTCAAGTATTGATTGCGGTGTCCGGACAAATCGTCGCGGACAAATCGTCGCAGGACAAATCGTCGCGGACTTATCGTCGCGGACAAAATGTCGCAGACAAAACGTCGCAAAAAATTCGTCGCATGGACAAAACGTCGCATGGACAAAATGTCGCATAGACAAAATTTTGCAACGATAGGCTTTCGTACCACAGGGTGTGGGCGTTGGTAATAATGAGTGTAAGACCTTGGGTGAGGGTCAGGATAAGGATGTCACTAAAGATCATATAGGCTGATGATGGCACTCGCATGTAAAACTATGTTACATTCATATTCGTCCTCGTATATCGCCCTCCCCCTCACTTATGTCCACGCTTGCCGCCAGGTTAAACGCTTCCATGTAGGATTTGTTAGAATCCTGGTCTTATTGACAATCTCACGAGGCTGAAAATCTTTTGCTACAGGCTCTAGTTACTTTCGATAGCTCATCAACCTATTTGAAAAACTCCAACAGGATTTGATAGTCGGATCGCTTGATGTAAACAACCACAGCTACCATACATACGGGATAATAATGTATCTATGATATCATCTACTGATCAGAAGTCCTTTTTTATCAGAATATACATTACACCGTTATTCTGCTGAGAAAGCCTATCGTTGCAAAATTTTGTCTATGCGACATTTTGTCCATGCGACGATATGTCCGCGACGATTTGTCCTGCGACGTTTTGTCTTGCGACCATTTGTCCTGCGACATTCTGTCCTAGAGCCTTGATTGTTGGTGGAAGAGTATATTTCGGATCGATCCTTTCCAGTGCTCAACTTTACATTCCATCATCAAATACATTCGTCACAGTGGGTAGCTTGAAAGTAGACCGACATGATCATATAACGATATTACTCAAAGATAATTCCTCAGTACTGATTATTGGTGATTATATTTCTGACGTACCACCACCACCACCAGAGGTATATACGACAGGCTCATGGCACGACACTCTAGGTGACATGATCTAAAGACGCGTTGACTGCGCAGCTGTACTGCTTCTTAATGGAAACGTATTAGTGGCTGGTGGTATTGATTCGAACTCTACCATTTTATCGTCTGCTGAAATATATAATTTTACTACTGGGAAATTCTCACCTATTCAACCAATGGGATGTGCTCGTTCGCATATTTTACACTTACGCTTTTACCAACGGGTTTAGTGCTGACAGTTGGGGGCAAAGGTCCTGCCATAGACGAATGTCCACGTGTCAGTGAACTCTACAATTCAACAACTAATCAATGGATAAGTACTCGTCTACTGAATACGGGTCGCCATAGTCACAACGCCGTTCTCATTAACAATAGTGTATTGATTTTAGGTGATTCTGTAGATGATGATACTTATCAATACGCTTGTGAGAGGTATGATCTATATACATCATTATTGTCTAATGTCTCTAAAAAAGAAACCAATGATATTGTTTTTTGACGCTGTTTCAACCTTCAGTTCGATACGCTTTTCATTCATGCTAAGCTTTCGATGTTTCTAATTTCTTGAAATAAATTTCTTTACTACATAGTCACGCATACGCTAATATCACTGTATGAGATACAATTAAATAGAAGACAATGATATAAATGCAAATCTTCTATTTGACATCAAAAATTTATTTTCTGAATTTTAACTTATTTGCTAATTTCTAGAATAGTATAGAATTATTTTGCAGATTGCGTTTAACTGGAAAATTTTGAGCATAAAAAGCATATACTGATATGTAATCAAATGTTTTTATATTCTTAAAAATCAAGAGCAGATATAGGTGTGAGTACATTCTTTTCTTTGTACACATTCTCACGCATACCCCATCTAGATGTATATAAAATATTTTTATTTAATTTTTATAAATATTAAAACGATCAAACTATAATTAGAAGAAAACTTTCGTTATAATAGTGTGTTTTCTCGAAAAGTATTGTATGAGCATCATAATATTAAACCAAAGCAAAATTAATAAGAGCATTTAAAAATGTTTATTGCAATTCGCACCTAGTAAAACTCGAAAAGTTTGTTCAACTGGATCGATCAAAACCAAATCATCTTTCCCATCTCGATTTAAATCAACTACTTTGAGTAATTGAAAAGATTGATCGGTAGAATTTTTTCCAATTTGAAAGGAAATTTTCTCTTCAGAAAATATTCCAAGTTTTGTTCCAAGATATATACCAATAGTCTGATTAGAATTTAATATGGCCAAATCATCGATCGAATCATTATTGAAATTGATTCGAACAACAGATATTGGAGAATTCTTTATATGATAGATTTGTTGTAAGAATTTACCATCTCCTGTAGAAAGTAGGACGTGCAATCCATTAGATTGAGGAGCAACAAGTGCTATATCATCGAAATCGTCATCATTAAATCGACCTTGAATGATTGATTGTGGAATTCCGTGAATTCTTTCGTCGAACGGTTTAAACTCGAATTTGTCACCTTCTTCATAATTGATAGCAGAATAAATAAAG